TGTAAAGTGTAAAAACGCATTTTTATGAGGACAAAAGCAAACTTCGTTAAGTACATTATCGCAGCGGAAGGGACATACGACAGAAGGAAATAGTATTCACTTGCTAAGGACAAAAAGTAAGGTACGTAGTGTAATGAGAGGTGGATTTGTACATGCACAGATGAACCACGGGTTAATGCCTCCGTCAGTTTAGTTTCGTAAATTCCTGACTCGAAATACGTTAACTTTTGTTAATTTTAAAGGCCATAGGTTATTTTCACATTCTGTTCATTATGTCAATATTATAAAGGGAATCCGTAATTTGAGCACCCTAAGAACTTGAAATATTAATCCACCTCTGATACGTCTTGGAATAGAGGATTTGAAGCATGGAAAAGTTCATTGCCCTTTCACCACGTGCATGCTCGGCCTCCGGGTAGCGCCACCTGTACCTGGTCGCGAAAAGGCCTGGGGGCCAAGAGGCGGCCACGAGGGCACAAAGAGCGAGGTCGTGGGCGCGGGGCGCAGCTGGGCCTCTGGCGGCGCGGCGCCGGCGGAAGCGAGAGTTATTGCGGTGACCGCGTGGCGCGTGCCGGTGCGCCTAGACACGCACGCGTGGTCGCGCCCTCGAGGCCCGCCGGTTCACTTTCCACGAAAAGTGCGCCGCGTGGGGTGATTAGTGTGGTCAACTTCCCTCAGTCCCACATTGTCAGGGATGGCATCCTGTCTTTCAATTATAAATAACGCCCCTTTCAATTCACTTCAACAAATAATTATAACTATTTTTTAACAACGCAGCTGAGTGTATCGAATCCATAATACGTAGTTTGTTCTTATCCTTTTCTTTCTCTTATTTATTCTCCTTGTTTTGTCTTTCAAGGTGTTTTGTTACAGCTGTTTTTGATGTTTCGTTTTGTTTAGGTCATTACATTTAAAAGCAGTTGAATCCTATTGGTTTAAAATTAAGGAGGGTGGGTATATCCAGGATATGTTAAGAAGAACAGTAAGTACGTGAGTGAGTAAATAAATGTTAATGAACAAATCAACAAAGAGGTAGTCGTCAGTGACAAATATTGAGGACGCCTTCGCATCTTTAATATAGGAAACTGGGATTGGAGAATCAATAGGGATGAAGTAAATTCCTTGAACTATTTGGTTGCGCCATAATATATTCAGACCTAATAAAATTAGCCTACAGGGATTAGTCAAAAGTTTAAATTAAAAACAAATTAAATCATTGACAAATTAAAAGTTCTAGAAATACTGTACCTGAGAGGTAAGTGATGAAATATTTGTAATACATCATCATTTACATAATTGTTTAAACTCATGAATTTCTGAAGAGTGTCGGAAGTTATGAAGTGCAAAAATCTTCCGTGCACTATTAAAATATTAGGTAATTAGTGTGCTGTTAAATATAAAACATGGAGATTTGGCGCTACAAATTCAAATTTTGATTCACAACCTCACGTCTTTGTCACTAGGAAGAGCTCTCATATCCTAAAAAAATATAACGGTTATAGACGAAATATGTATAATATTTTAAAATAATACGTAATTGAAGAATAAACAAATGATGTTCTTAGGTCGAGTTTGATAAACAATCGCGTATTGTAATATGATATAACGATACGAATATCGTACGATTCATCCACTTGGTAATAATTTTAAGTATAGTACATTTAGCTTTTCATAGTGGGAAACGAGTAAGTCTGGTGTTGATAATTAATAGATGGCCATTGATTATTAGAAAATTTGTATTAAAAAAAAGATCACCCTTGCACTGCAGAAACACATGTTTCACGTTTACAGGAGGCTAGGACTCCTGTCTCTGGCCTCACGGGGTTCTTTTCTCCACTTCCAGGGCTCTCTGTAGGAGTTATGGAAGATATATGATGTTATATTGTGTTGTAAAAATTGTGTTGTGTTGATGTTGGTGTCAAAATTGATGTTATATTGTGTTAAAAATGTGTTGTTTATATGATGTTATATTGTGTTATCACAAAACTGAACGCAGTTTCATAAATTTTGACGTCATATGATCAGAGTTCATAATCTGGAATTGAATCCTCGGTCGTCTGCTCTTAGGATGGATGGGTGATGATGGTATACTATGACTTGCACTATGATGCGGCAACGGTGGAACAAGAGGCAGGGGAAGTGGGAGAAACGTGCTTTTTCCCCACCGCAGAATCCACATAGGTCGACCGGACGTAGGTACCGAAAGGCTGCGAAGGTCGGAGGTCTGACCACTCCGTCACGGGTCGCTCCTTCATTCAAACAAGTATCGCAACGTTTAATCGCACGCCGCGCGTTAGCGGACGCGCCTGGCAGCTGGCGCCCCTGCCGGCGGATCGCGCAGGCGTTGGCGGTGGCGGTGGCGTCGCGACGCCGCTAAATGTCAGCAGACGCGGAGGAGCCTGGAGGAGGGGAGGGGGAGCAGGAAAAGTTGTCCGCAAACGGGAATGTCCCAGAGCGGAGGCTGGGGGAATTACTTGTCATAGTTCACTAGGTTGGAAGTGGCGCCGACCGTACTTATGAACAAGCTCTGAGAAATCAGTCGAAAGTTTAAAAGAGGGAAAGGAGGTGTGGGTGAGTTGTTTACTTTAAGTTGAAACGCAAATTGCAAAATTAGGTATGTACGGAGTAACTTCTCTCCCCTCTTTGTCGTAGTTCGTTACATCTGTTTTGTTAACTTAGCATTCCCCGAAGAAGGCAAATATAATGCGTGGGTGAGGGGGATTAAAATGAATCGATAAATGAATAAAGATTCACGAATTCAGAAAGAATTGTCTTAGGTTATTTATTATCAAAGTAGATGTTGGATGGTTTGATTTTTGGTCAGTTGGTTGATTTTGGTCAGTTGGTTGAGTTTGTTGATGGTTCGATTTTTGGAAAGAATTGTCTTAGGTTATTTATTATCAAAATAGATGTTGGATGGTTTGATTTTTGGCCAGTTGGTTGATTTTGGTCAGTTGGTTGAGTTTGTTGATGGTTTGATTATTGGAAAGAATTGTCTTAGGTTATTTATTATCAAAATAGATGTTGGATGGTTTGATTTTTGGTTCTTTGTAAATAAATGACAGTGACACTACGCAAATGTGTACGTGACGGGGAAATTCTAGGTCAGTCTATTATTTGCTAATTAATGCATAGTTACTCCTTTATCCACTGTACCGGAAGATCTTTATTTTGGGGAGAATCGAGAAGCCTTGTGTCACGGTTCTTGCATCAGGCTTTCTGGATCGACCGAAAACGATACACGCCTGTGATAGCAGGCCCAAACAGAAATTGCAACGGAGTAGATGAAATAACCGCTCTTGACCAAAAAGCCCCTAATTAATGTAGTGGATCAGCTTCGCCCTTAGTGTGTCTAAGGAAACTATAGAAAATTTCGATAATGACAAAATCTCGTAGACGTTCCCCCTGAACAGTTGGTACGTTCGACCCAATTGACATCGATAAATGCCCTTGTAGAATTGGTTGGTGAACAAAATCAGCCTCACACAGAGCAATCACTACCCCACCAGCAATATCTTATGTTCGAACAAACTTTGTGTTTCCAAGGGCGTCAAATGATATGGTCGTTATTTCCCTTAGTGCATCGTTGTTTTATCCTGGAAGGAGGAAGTATTCCTTCCTACGCCTGTGGGGGATTTTACCCTTCAGCTACCTCCTCCACTGGGACAGCGTTTCAGCCGAGATATCTCTGAGCTCCTTTTAGTGAAGTGCATTCCACAAATTATTTCTGGTCGCCAGATACGTTAGTGTCACCTGTAGAATATTGCTACAGAGGAACTGACGTCAGAAACTGTCTAATGTTCATAAATAAATATTGTGCGTGTTTCTCTTACAAACGCACACTTACCGGCCGATTAGTAATGAGATGAGAACAACTCTAGGCCGTACACCGACAAGAGGACATATGACAGAGAGGCTGTTCAGGTCGACATACGTAGAACACTGGACGTCATAAACTAAGGTTGATAGCTATTTCGTGGAATTGCTGCACATAAACCTGTTACTATAAATTGATAAAAAGGGAAAGCATAATTGAAAAAGGCATTACAAATTTATAAAGGTGAAAAGCTTATGTATCTACTTTGGAGTTAACCCCTCTGGTAGAACAAATCATTGGCGTGGTACGTCACGCAGGGTTTAGGATTGTTACCATAAATAGCAATATGCTTCGAAGCAAACGCACATGGATGCTGTTGGAATATCGTTATGACATAGCCTATAAACATTTAAATAGTCTACATTTGTTCGAACTTCTTTCTTTTGTATACACTCCACTATTTTCCTTGTTAATAATTTTCAATGGCTGCGTAAAAATATGAAACAAATGTTTATCCTGATTTTATTTGTTAAATAGTAAATTTCCTGCTCCAACACTGCAGCGAGGATCATAACAAATTAGGGTTGAAAAAGTTCAATATTGGTACACCAAATATTGGCCCTGAGAGAGAATAATCTCACATTACAATTTTCGGTTCGACATTTTGATTCATTGCTGGTAGTATTTGCAATAAATACAAACTTAATGTAATGGCAGTTCATTGTTTTGTGCTACTTTGACATTTGTATGACTACCATACAAATTCGAATTCACACTGCATTTAATTATTCCGAAATGAAACCAGGAAGGACCCCACCAATGACAAATTATAAAGAGCATATGCTCTCAGTAATTAGTTAATTTGTGAAATGTTGCCAGTGATAACGTGTACGGAATAACTAAGGGAAGCAAGGGATAGAAGACAGGTTACACATACTGTAGCCACGAATTCAGGCAGAACGGCAGGCAGAGTGGCTGTTGGTGAGACTAGTAGGCAGTTTGGGAGGTTGGCGAACAAGGAGGAGTCATTTAATGAATTTTCATTCATTCGATTAGTTAATAAGTATTTTAGTTGAATGGATCAATTAGTCATTAATACAATAATACAATTTTCTTTCCTGTATTATAGTTGTTTAAATTTATTTCTTCTTTATTGATTATTTCCAGAGCAGCAGAATTCAAGATCTGCATGGGCGGCGAAATCTAGCAGCGCAGTTACGCCACTGCAAGCAAGCCTAGAAAGCTGGTGGCCGTGTCTACGGAAATCCGACGTAAGTGCTGCCGCAGGGAGCTGTCACATACCGGATGTGCGTGAGTCAGTCGGCTACCGGAACCCGACATCGCCGCCAAATTTCCTGACGCACGTCCACCTCGATTCGGAGAAACCGTCTCGGGGACACGTGATCCTTACAAGAAGCCTCTTGGAGATTTCTTACATGGTTGGCCACTACCCCTCGCAACAGGTGAATACACGCCAGAGATAATTACAGTATAAAGTGTTAATATGTTATTAAAAACGAAATTTCAAGATATTCAATATTACACTATCACATGGGAGTCCTTTAATTGGAGTTCTTTCCCATATGGAGTCAGCGTGTAAACCGTAGTTTTGCGTTAATCCCCTTTCTACAATCCAACTGAAAACTCAATATATTTTGTTTATTTAGTATTATTTTATAAACAATAGTGTACTTTAAAATGATTTGCAATTTACAATATAGTAACTATATAAAATGTAGTAACATTCCACTGAAAAATATTAAATGGCTATTATGATTTAATTTACTTATTTACGTCAAAAACTGTTAATAACTGTGTGTGACGTGCTATGAGGAGAGGTTAAATTGAAGTTACATTTATGATGAAAGTAAATGCACAAAAGTTACTCAAAATTCAAATATTTTTCAAGCTGTAGTAGAGCACAGACCTCGTTTTAGTCAGATTACTTCATTCGGTAAAGTATGTTCCTAATATTACCTTCTCACCTTACTGAATTAAACTCCTAGTACGCCAACGGTTTCGAAACTTTATTGTTCTCTCCTCAGGGCTATCGGACACATAATTACACTGTTAATACATATATCAAAATAAATAAACAATAAAACCATATACTGTGTTGTACGTAAAAAAAGCAGCACCATAATTAAAAATCAAAAGTATTTACGCTAGACAATGCCATGAAACCCACCTTACTGCAATTGAATATACGAGAAGAGCTGTATTCTCAGAAGGGCATTGCATAAAACTGAAGCAGCACATATTAAGGACACTTGAAACCACAACTCGACCACTCTCTTGCTGCATGTTTAAGTCGGTACGGTTAGTACCTTCAATTACGAACACGTCTCAGACTGCTGGAGTCATTGTTTAATTGACTATACCATGAATTGGTTTCATTACTAAAATAAGCTAGTGTCTATCGTTGTGCAATTATTGTTTTAATAGATTTGCATTAGTGTACCTATTTGTATGGTCAAAATATTTAAAATATGGTGTCTTCGTGAAGGCACTGTACGTGCAGAATAATTATTGTACGTTTTGTAACTTATTTCATTAGAATGTACGGAAAATACTTTTGTGCTACGTGAATACCTAATACTTATTAAAATTAATATACTTATTAAAAATAAGTATAAGAGTTAGTTGTATTTAACATAATGTAGAAACATGACTTTCGCGTTTCTTATATTACGTATAATTGTAAAATTTCTGCCAAAATACTGGTGATAAAATTAATTTCTTTTCTCAACAAAAAGAAAGACTAATCTAATTATGAATATTAATGAGAGGTTATAATTTACCTCACTTATCAAAGGGTTTGACAAAAATGTCTATGCCACAAATTTACCTAAAGATGTGCATAATTAAATGATATTTTATATTTGGTAATGTTTTTATGTAATGGAGTGATATGTGGTAAAGATCACTCAAAGAAAATTCTTAAAGTGGTCTCGAGCCTGAACCCTGCGTCATCTAGAACATTAACTAGCTACCGACGAAACGAGGCCCTGGACATAATTTACCGTGTGGCTGAAATGATTGAATACGTAACTTGTACACGGACGTAGGAGAGTTGACGGAAGTAGTCGTTGGTCCAGTCCCTTTTCGTGGAGAACCGTCGTGTCTACGCCCTGGCCTCTACCGCTACGTTCGCCCCCGCCGCGCTGCCCCGCGCCGCGCCGCCGCCAAAACGAGGCGAGACGAATCGCTTTCCCGGGCGCGCGGAGACGGCCTCCGAAGGTCGTGCCCTCCCCTCCCCTCCCCCCCCACACCCTCCACGTCTGAACAACGGCGCCCCGCCCCCGCGGTCGACAACCTGTGCCAGGAGGCGGCGGCGGCGGCGGCGGCGAGACGTGGCGTCTGTGGGCGCGCTCCCTTCCCCTCCCCCCTTCCGCACCTCGCCCCCGCCTGCACTGGTTGAGTTGTGCGCCGGCAGCATTTCCGTTGACTGGGTGGTCCTAGGGTTCGATTCCTGCCGGTGGCAGATTTCCGACACGAGCTACGAAACTAGGTCGAACTCAGCCGCGGTCTGGAGGAGAATTCTAGCGGCCGGCTGCTCTGATCGGTTGTTTTCCTTGTTCTCTCCGACCAATACCAGGCGAATGCCGGAACAGTATTTTAAGAAATGGAATAAACCCACGCCCCATCTTTCCTTCCTCTTCCTTGTTCTATCCTCTCCTTGTACTTACATACACTCTTACCTGCCCTACACTAGCTGACTCGCCGGGAATCCAGTTGGGAGTTTAGAGCTTGTGCCGGTTGGGGCGGTGCCAGAGATAGATGACAGAAATACCAGGAGGGGGAAACCTTGCAAGCTAATGTTTAATTGTTTCAACCAGCGCGTGAAAAAACCGCCCCCTCCAGGAATAAACCTGCACTACACGAGTGAAATGGCATGAACAGTTGACGCGCCCGAAAACGTCAATCAGTTAATCAAACGCCGTCTGTTACTGAAAGGCAGACAAGCGAGAAGGAATTTCAATTTATATTAATCTAATTTTGGCGATGCTGCAGATTCACAGCTCAGCAGCTGCCTCCTGGCTTAGCCGTTTCTCGGCTTCGTTCGGGCGAGTGTCGCTTTTGTCTGGACGAGTGTGGGTTTTACCATTCGGGTTGAAGCCCCATCTTGCGGTTTAATGTGAGCAGGCAAAACCGCCATGCGTTTTATTCGTGCTTCGTTTAGGTGTTTTGTATTCTTTGACAATGCTTTCTAGGACCTGTTTCCTGCAAACCAGCCGAGGAATGATAACTTTGTTCATTTGTAGACTCGGTCGAGGTATTTCATAACCACTGTCACTGTTGTAGATATAAGAAATGATACTGAATGTTGATATTATTTTTTTTATTTGCGAAATATAAAAAGACATTATATGTATGGATTGAGCAACATGAAATCGGTAAATTAGAAGAATCTTTTTGCTTTGTTAATCTTATATTGTTTATTAATCAATGAATCCCTTGACATGATCTTAACCTGCACCTAGGAAACTCTGGCTTAACACTCAAAAGTGGAAGGGGAAGGAGAGTATAATTGCTGGAATTAAACTCTCATGTTTATAAAATGAGAAGTAAACAGACGAATGTAAGGAATGTGCAAGAAAAACGTTCACACAAATAGAAATGGTATTTTGTCCAATAACACAATCCGCTGTTTATATAACGAAACTCTTCTCGTGAGAACTGGGATAGTTTTGTTTTGATACGCACTTTAATAAGAGAGTGCAAATCAGTGAACATGCTATTCCTAAGCAGTGAGAATGTCTGAATATTCCGAAGCAATTTTTATGCTCATTGTTAATGTTGTAGTACTTCAAGTCTTTCGTATATCTTGGATATTTTTTAAGTAAAATAAATTGTACCTGACTGATGAGCACATCATCACACGCAAGAGATCGTGATAGAAGAGTTTGAATTTAATGTTCAAAATAATTTCCAACAGATCTTATCGATTAAATTGTGTTTAATATTTCAAAAATGTGAGTTTTGATGAACTGTATGATATTATTAACTTTTTATCGAAGGTGAATACAAAGTTTCTACGATTTTTTATCTTCCATCTCATGACAAAATTTTTCATCGGAGACATTTAATTTCACTCTCCTTTTGCCATGAATGTCCATGAAATATGTTTTCCGCCGTAACTTCCTTCAATAAAAAAACAAGAAAGTTGCAGTTCCCAGAAATTTGGTCGCGTCTCTCATATTCAATCGTTGCAGGAATAAGGCCCACTGGTTTGTTTGATTGGTGCAGTCTGTGTATCGCCGTTCATGAGGTGGGCTTAGGGCGTCAACACCGTTGGGCCAAGCGTCAATCAAATTTATACTTTTTGTTACAAGATATTTGTTTATCTCGTCGAAAGATATTTAAATAACATCATAGAATATTCGTAAACTATAAATACAGGAGAACGTCAATAAAATTAAGTAATATATTGCTGGAAGTGTTTTACGCACGAAGTATGCTTGCTGTGAGGTGAACATTCAAAATGAAACTAAATTACGTTTGAAAAGCACAGTTTTCGTTCGTTTTGTACTAAGGTGCAATCAATACAAGCAAATATATAAAAGAACGTTTATTGTCATCGATTGACAGAAAAGTGTTGATGAAACGTTATATTATTAAATTTTCTCGTCTCATTTAACTATGACAAAAACTACATAAATAAACTATTCCTTAAAAGTGAAAATATAAATATATTTTTGTATTTTTTAACATTCTTACATATTAAAATAAAAAGGATTCCGATGCCTCAATTATTATTTGATTAACCAAATTATCGTACTTACAACTAATTCAATCTAATGAGATGGCACTTTCTCCTATGTAGTTTGTAAAGTGTTGTCTCATTAACTCGTTTGATCTTTTTCACGAGTCCGTGAAAGTTATTATAATTATCTTTACGCGGCATTGAGTTCGTGTCAATAATACTCGTTGATTACGAATGAAGGAGAAATCGTAGGGCTCTTCACAAGATAGAACACATCATTAATTATTGTTGAAGCAGCTACTTAGGGATACTATGTTAACTGACTTGACACAAAATTGGGTCTTAAAAATGGGCTTACCTTCAATAAAATGTTCTGAATGGAGTGTTAACAAATACTAATGCATTCTTTATGTTTTGCCGAAATTATCGGTAATAAAAAGGTTCAACTTCCACAACTCATAAACATTTCTTAGATCTTTATACCATTTCCGTAAATTCCA